AGGTCTGATTATTTAATTCCTATTATAATTTTTAGACTTTGAAAACCAAAAGAACCGTCTTTTGGTTTTCAAAGTCTAAAAATTTAAGTCTAAAAGTTAGGTAGCTAGACTGCATAACAAGGTCAATTGTAATTGTGACATATTGTTGGTACGATTCTAAAATATTAATAGTAATGTTATAAATGCGAAAGTGTGTCCGTCGGTCTTTCTGTCTTTATGTTACCTCTTCACGCTTAAACAGCTGAACCGATTTATATGAAATTTGGTATATAGATAGTACGAGTCCCGGGAAAAGAAATCATCCTTTAAGGGGGTGAAAAGGGGGGGGGGGGGGAGTTTGTATGAGAAATCAATAGCCGATGAACCGATTTAGATGAAATTTGGTATGAACATACTTTGATTGTTGAGGAAAGACATGGCGAGGCTTTTTACCGCGATAACCAACATTTACGCGGGGGGAGCCGCGGGCAAAAGCTGGTTAGTAATAAACGATACGATTTTTTTTCGAAAAATTGTAAAGATGTACAGATACTATAACATAACGTACCGGGCAATCGACCTTTGAAAAGAACTCTTTGAAAAGTTTCATAACAATATCATATTGTTGAGTATAATTCACAATCGCTTAGAAATCAGTCATCGCCTTATCCGTTAATACACAGGTAAAGCTTCTTCCTTTTTTTATATAATAACACAAAAGCGAATAAAAGAGGAAAGTGATGGAGTCTATTTGTATCCGAGGTCGTACATTTCACACTGAGATTACGTATTATAATACTTACATATTATAGGATACAATCTGTTTCTTAGACGTAATGCATTCTTTTCTTTTTATCGTTATACAAGCCTTATAGGCACAAATTAAAAATATATGGTTTTATTTATTCATAGAAAGGTCGTCTAGAAGATAACTACGCAGTGTTTTGTTTTATGGAGGGCGGTGTCTCCTTAGCTTAGTCGCGAATAACGTAAACGTTATTTATGTCTTCTCGCAGTTGTTTTTCTTTTAGCTAAGAATAGTGATATCATAATATGTGTCAAACGGACAGCCTATGTTGCTAAACAAATGTTCAGTGACTTGATATGATAGAGATGTGTTTAAAAAGAAATTGCTTTCTTTTCTTTCTTTTTTTAAAGACAGTGCCCGCATTAGGAATATATTTCTGTGTTGCGGGGGACTTTACAAACATACATGAAACGGACACAAAGAACACCCAGACTCAGCACAACAATTTGTGAATCACACAAAGAGTCGTCCCATGTGGGGTTTGAACCCACAACACTCGGCGTAGTAGGACGCGGCGTGGCGACCACTCAAACCACTACACCATCCGTGCTCCAAATATTTCTGTCACTATAACATTAAGATGTGACGCTTGTTCGTTACTTGTTAATGTATTCATATTACTGAATTAGTTTGTGTCCATTGGGTTCTAACTGGACAACTTTGACAAATCCTAATCATCCTAAAGGATATGTATTGGTGTGGAAACTATTAGTAAAGGTTGCAACAAGACCATATGCTCTTAACTAACGATTATTAACAGTGGGCATTCTATTTTGGTCATTATTATAAAATGGTAAGCTGTTGTAATGTTAAGAACAAGAGTCATGGACCAAACAGAAGAAAGAAATAATAAACAAATCAGGTTACACGTTTAGAAACATAAAACATAATACGTCGTCAAACGTTCTAAATGTGTATACAAATAACATCGAAGAAAACCTATAAGGGCCGTATCTTGGCAATATTGAACGGTTTCAAATAAGTTCTATAAGTATTTTATCTCGGAGTGTGTCGTAACCATTGTATTTTATTTTATTTGTAGTAATAATAAAGCAATATTGGTGTAGATAATGTTTTTTTTATTGGACTTTTTTTTGTATTGCTGGTAAATGATTTGAAACCTGATACAAACAATTTAGGTAATCTTAGACGATGCGGTACGGTTCAGATCATCATACAAAAAAGTTCTTTTGTCCTTCGGTGTAAAGGATTTAAGTCCTTCTATCAGAAATTTATAAATAACCCTACAGTAAATACATCATGTACTCACATAGTTTTTGAGTTTTCATTTATATAAAAACAGTTTATTTAGTTAATCTGAGTTGGGTCAAGAGACACAGCAGAAAGAAGATTCACAAAATGTGGTCAGTTACCAACTCTCCCTTTATCTAAAAAGTAAACTAATTTTAATTCTATCAACATAAACCAAAAAGAAAGTTGTACAAAACTTATTGTTTTTTTTTTTTTCACCATTTTTGCACCAGTATAAGACCAACTGAACAGTAATTTATAGGTTTTGTTACATTTCTAGGTTTATTTCGTCAGTCTTTAAGTTTAAAAAGGCTTAAAACTTCTCGCATGCAAACATAAATGTTTACACAACAAACTAGTGACTGATTGATCAAGAGTCCTTAAGATATTCACTAAATTCGTATTTTCGCTATACTTTAGATAAGCGTTCTCAACTTGTTAAAGATTTTATGTGCGTTATCAACTGTAAAGTGAAGAAATATATGATCGGTTTTATGAGAGAATAAACCACAAATAGTTTTTCTCATATACCAATAGGTATATCCAAAAAGTCGGCGTAGCGCAGATTGAAATTGTGAAGCTCCTGGCTATTTACAAAAGCTGGTTTGAAAACATATTCTGCGAAAATAAGCAAAACGGGTCTTTTTCACTCTACGAGTAGTCCACTGGAAACTACATTGTATTTTTATATGATTTTAATTTACTTGAAGTAAAGTTTACTTAAATTGCCACATCTGTTGCTTGTTGTTGATTTAGATGCTTGATTTTTTGCAGTTTCAATGGACCGCGGACGTACCTGATTAATGTTAACTTATAGTGATGGTGTATTTCCCAAAGACACTTATTAATTTTCATTTTACTTTTCCTTGTTCTCCTTACAAGGGTGTGCTTGTACTTCCATCACTCTGCTCCCTTTCCTGTGCATCCTTCCAATAGAAGAAACAGCCCTACGTAACTAAGGCTGACTATCTGTGCTAGGATAGTCTTGCATAGTAAGATTTTATGAGTATAAATCGCTTGCACTTCAGTTCAGATTTTCGTTACTACGCACTAATCGCTACCATTATAAAACTAAAATCTAAGTGCTACCTATAAAATCTTGATAGGTCTCCAAGTTATCGTTACTGTTTAAGTGGGTAAAGTGATGGAAATTTGTCTGAAATTCCGTACTCGATCGGGGATTTTAGTGTTAGTAGAAGGCGAACTTTGTAGACACATCTTATATCTTGAAACTATTAGAGGTAGCAGATTTATAAATTATATACCTTTTGAGATAAAGCATTTTTCAAAATGTTTACTTGTATTTATTAAATACATAATTGTCTTTTTAACATTTTTTTTAGAACTAGCCCAAATGGCAGCAGTTCAGTATGAAGGGAGACCTTCAAAGCCTAATAAACTGCTTATATATTGCCTACATACTCGTAGTATAAGAAAATTAACTGTCAATTTTTTTTGAAAAGAGTTAGGTACATTTACTAAATTTCATTAACAAAAAAAATTATGTATGGCAAAGGTACATTATGTTGCTATTATGTTACCAAATAACACCCTTTTGAGTTTAATATTAAGTGTAAGTGTGTAACCACTACAATTTTCAGGTTTAAATTCCTTTAAACAAACGGTATTTAACTGCCATAAAAACGGTCGCATATGCCGAATGTCGGATACTATTAGAATAGTATTGAGCGCATCACTAGTGAATATACTCATAGATATACCTACACCAGTGCAGCACGAACTTAGTTTTTAATTTGCGAAAACTTCAAACAGAAACCAAACTTCCCCTGAAAAGTTACTGAGACGAAAGATAATATAATGGGGACAGAATCAAAATCACAGAATAAATTTATTTACACAATTAAAAAGTCAGGTACAGACCGTCTTCATTGTAGTGTGCCTTTACGATAGAATAAAGGTAATAGAAATATACTTAATATCTTTTTGGACGGATTAAGAATACGGAGTGTCACCACTCTTGATTAGGTTTGAATCCCGTGGGTGTCGTAAAAGCTGACTAAAAGAGCAAACAAAGCAGGACAACAGCACTGCAAAGAGAAGGAAAACTTGAAACAATCCCTATACCAACCCGTCTGATCAGCGTGGTATAGGAGGCCAAAACCTCCTTTATAAAGAGCAGCCCATGTCCAGCAGTGGACTGTTAAAGGATGATGATGAGTGATATGACACACAAAGCGAAAATTACATCGAAACAATAGGTAATCTCGTAATAACAGGATAATTCCACGAAGCAGTAGAAAAATATTATGAAGGCAAATACAAGAAGAATTTACATGTTAAACTAATAACTCTTATACTGAATATTGTTTAGCAATAAAAGGTTAACATGACATATGTACATAATATAGTTTAGACTTTATTGATACTATTAATATGACGTGTGCACCCATGACGTTTTGCAAATTTTTTGTCGTTTACTTCACACTTCTTCATCTATCTATCACCTTTAATTGAGAAATACATATTATAGTAACAGAAGGAGCAACACTATTCCCAAATGCTTGGCGGCAATTCCTTAAGAGGACTTCTAAGGGGTCAGTGACACAGTCTGTAGCAGATACACCTTTTCCCCATAAGTCTGAAAACGGACACATCAAACACAAACAATGCTTTGTTTAGAGTAATATTCGCCTTTGAGATTCCTAATGGCAAAAGTAAATTCTGTATCAAAAGATATAAACAAATCTAATATGTTGTTGCTCTACTTCGTCGAGGTACTATCTTTTCTTTGTATCGAAGAACCAGGACGCGTTTAATCTTTGCTCCCCTACAGTCTGTTAACGCCTCTGAAATTGGTTCACAGGGTATTCTTTTCTCTTGAACATGTCTTGCATCTGCAACGAGAATGTCGCCCTGCATTTTTAAAGAAACGACCAGGTTTATGCGTTTGGTAAAATTTATGCCAAAAACCTAGTTTAATAGGAAGACATTAGATTAAAATCTATTTGGACTGACTGCTTTTCACTATTAAGGTACAGCTCGGTTCGTGATAGTACTTTAAAGGTACTATCCAGAACAGAGCTACCAATGGCAGCTGCTGCGGCTGCGGATCAGTAATGCAGCGCCCGCCAAAGTATACGGACGTGTTTTGCCAGAAAAATAAGTTTGTCAGGAACAAGAAATGGCCGCCGCCTAGTGTTGGTTGTCTAGTCGCAGCATGTGCCGCCACTCTTGGACACATTCCGACTGCACGCTGCAGCTGCAAAAGCCGCGAATGTGTGCAGCTGCTGAAAGTAATATGTGCAGTTGCATTTGGCAGCTCGGTTCGGAATTGTACCATTATACTACAAACGTCATGGATTACGATGGACATTCTTGAATTAATTTAGTATTAGTTATTAGTTAACTGTTGATTAAAACCGTAATCGATACAGTACGGCATAAAATGGTATTTCATAACATTTTAAAAGTAGTAATGTAAACATAATAATAGGAGTAACACTTTAAACTGTTACAATTGAATCTTGTTATAATTGCAACCTTTGATTGGATTGTTTATAAATCCACCCTTTTAACTCCTGTACGAGAAACGATACTTACACTTAAATTTGTTTCAAAAAACATTCATTTCAAAAAGCATATAACTAAAAGACATTAGTAGAAACAAAAGAAAACGTAGAGACGTTAGAAACATTCATTAACTGGATTTTGTTAAAGAACCTATTTACTTTAAGATACTACAAAACTAATTTTAACATGCTTTGAAATAACATTTCTTTCACTTCACTTTCATATTTTATTTCTATTAACTCACAAAGACTTTTGACTTAAGGTACTCGGGTACCCTCAGGCGTGGTACAATTAGCTATTGGCGGTGTGTTAATGAGAACATCTTGACTTCTCAAAGGCCGTTCCTTTAAAAAAACATAATACAAAACTTTTGTATACAGTCTATGCAGCATTTGAAAGGTAATATTTTTCCATTTATGCAGCACATTTAAACCCAGATCCAAACATTTTATGTGATTAAATAACTAATTATTTTTCAACAGCAAATTTGAGCTAGCAAGTATCAAGAGAGAATGTATTTTTAATCGGTCACGTGCGAATCCGAAGGCTTAGTAGGTTACATGTATTTTACATTCACACACATTTCACATTTCACATTACAATACATGTATATCCTCGACAATAGAGTAACATCTACACAACATAAATGTCAAGAGCTTTTAACAAGAGACAGAACGATATTGCATTCTAACTGCAGCCGTAGCCCACAAAGCAATATCATTTGTCATACGATGCACGGTTGTAACTAGTTTATTGGTGTTATCCCAAACTGCGCGCCTAGCTTTAGAATACAAAACAGAGAAGTTATTATATTTATTAATAAATATGGATTCTCTTTCAAGAAATTAATCATCCAGTCAACTCACTAATAAAGTTCCCTCTCTTAGCAATGATTAATTAGGTGACCGTACCAAAGCAATTTGTCAAGTTAAAAATGTAAAATGAAGATAGCTAAATGTCTTCAAACTAAAGACAAGAAATACTAATTTAATATTTGGAAACTTTAAGGACAATAATTTTACAAGCGAACCTAAAGTTTACGTAGTTAATTCTAATAGTAACCGCAAGTTGGACAATACAAGGAGAGTTGAAACATCATACTCTATGTACTGCCAGGGAACCAGAGACAAAGTTTGGTAATTAATAGTTCTGAGAAACTAGACTTTGTAAATGAAATGGAACATACAAAGAAATAAATTATAAAAATGTACAATAAAAGTTATCTAATACTCGTATGTCATTTTTCGTCAGCATATTTATTCAATATTTCATAAGCTTTGCATCGTTCTATTTTTATGTCTACTTGACCTTCAACAGAAATGATATCTGTATATTAATATTTATTTATATATTATAGACAATAAATAAAATTTTCCATAAGGATAAATTAGAACCACCCACAAATCTTTTAAGGGCATTTGAATACTAAATATATCGTTTGCAGAAGAAAAGTCAATATCTCCATGACAAATCAAAGAGTACCTCTCAAGTTCCAAACTGAATACTAAAATTTCATACAAATATTGTTAATTTTTACAAATGAACGAATGAATTGTGCCTTAATGTCTTCTATTGTAAGTACTTACATCAATTAAAACGAATTAACAATTGCAATATTAAAAAAAAAAACTTTGTATTGAAAGATAGGCCATCATCGAATGTATACTTTAATTTTGTTTGAATGTTGCATATTGTCATAGAATGGATTTATTGTTTTCTAATGTGCATATAACTTAAGTACACAGTCAAGTCAAGAACAAGTTTACACAAGCGAAGTTATTACGAAAAACCTCTGAAGTACTTTAAAACTTCTTAGTTTGGTTTCTTCTTCTTCTTGGTTTGTTTGAAATTTTGTAAACTTTGATTGGAAGTTTTGTTTTCTTATTTTTTTTGGAATCTGTACGAGATAGCTTATAATCGTATTAAATAAAACATAGAATTTTATGATATTTATTTGTATTGTAATGCAGTGCACAGACTGAGGTCTGGACAGGGTTGCTTTATTAGAAGCGGTCCTAACTAGTTAGTACTAGTTACTACTATAAAGTTAATCCCATAAAACGGCATTTTAAGGCATCGATAATATTCAAGAGTAGATACATAGTATATGCACGTACAGACAAGATATTGATATCGATTTTTTGAGGAGAGAAGTGGTTAGTGGTGGTTGCTACGAACGTGCTTAAGGACCGACGACAGCCTACGTTGTCAAGATACATAAATGAAGTGTATATATGTGATACTAAAAGAATAGGTTATAACCTTCATGTCTAGAAGAGACCTTAACCTAGTCAGCGTTTTTAATATACGAGTACAGTTACAAGTACAGAAATAAATGAATTTAAAATGCTCTAGTGTGGAAAAAACTAGAAGGGAATTTAAATTCGCTGTTTTACGACTGGGGTGTGAGGGGCGAACCACCATCTTTCGCCCCAAGCCAACCTCACCTGCCCGCGGTGCATCCTGCTGAACGACGAACGAGGCTCTGGCGACCGACCGATGGCGGTATATCCATCCCAATAGGCGTAGCTAAATACAACAGGCCGGTGACGGGCAGCAGCGTTACCGGTGCGACAAGCTACGCCCTGCGATCGCCAACCCGCCTGCCCAGCGTGGCGATTATGGGCAAACCCCTCCCATGCAGACGCAACAAAGGCCACGGCCCCCAGTTCCCGGCGGCCCCGCTATTCCTGGTCATGGTGGCGACCACGGTAAAGGCGGGGCAGGGGGTGCGAAGAATCTCCGGGCTACGGGAGGCCACCACAACCGACTGACCCTGGCTACGTACAACGGACGCACGCTACGGCTAGACTCGCATCTGGCGCAACTTGAGGTGGAACTTGGGAAGATTAGGTGGCATATCCTAGGGCTATGTGAAGTCCGAAGAGAGGGGGAGGACACCATAACCCTCGAGTCAGGCCACCTAATGTACTTCCGCGAGGGAGACCAACAATCCCAAGGTGGGGTTGGGTTTCTGGTAAATAAGTCCCTATCTGACAACGTTGTGGAAATTTCCAGTGTGTCGAACAGGGTAGCGTACCTCATTATCAAGCTCACCGAGAGGTATAGCCTCAAGGTTGTGCAAGTGTACGCACCGACCTCGGCACATTCGGACGACGAGGTGGAGGATATGTACGATGACATATCGAGGGCCCTCCACTTCACAACTAAGACCCACTACAACGTTGTTATGGGTGACTTCAACGCTAAAGTGGGAGTACAGAATTGCGGCGAATCGGTAGTAGGATCCCATGGATTTGGAAGCAGGAATCATAGGGGGCAAATGCTGGTCAACTTCCTCGAACGGGAGGGGCTGTTTTTGATGAATTCTTTCTTCAAGAAACAGCCCCAAAGGAAGTGGACGTGGCAAAGCCCCGACGCTATGACCAGAAATGAGATCGATTTCATCATGACGGATAGAAAGCACATATTCAGAGACGTCTCAGTGATCAATAGGTTTAATACCGGTAGTGATCACCGACTTGTCCGGGGCTCTCTGAATATCAACTTTAAGGCGGAACGTGTCTGTTTGATGAAATCCAGGCTCCGACCAACTCGGCTCCAAGCCATGACAGGATCTGAAACGTTCCAGTCAAAACTGGAAAACCGATTCGCTGCCGTGGAAACCACAATCGACGTAAACCAGAACCTCAAAAATGTGGTTCAGATCCTCAGGGAAGAAGGTATGAGATTTTGTGAAATGCAGCGTAAGGGCAGGAAGTCGAAGCTTTCAGAAAGGACCCTAGGGCTGATGAAGAAACGACGTGAAAACCCACCTGTCACTTTGTCGGCAAAGCGGACTCTAAACCGAGAGATCAGTAAACTCGTACGACACGACCTCCGGTGCTCCAATACTCTTTCAATTGAAAGAGCGATCGAGCAAAATCGGGGGTCAAAAGTGTTCGTACAATCTCTTGGAAGAAGCCACCTGACAAAGTTGACTACAGAAAGTGGAGAAGTCGTTGCTTCGAAGCCGGCAGTCCTTTTGGAAGTGGAAAGCTTCTATGGCCGGTTATACGCTTCGCATGCATCTCGACCTGATCCCGAAAATGAGGACTCTAGAGCCACATTAACACGTCACTACACCGAAGACCTGCCAGAAGTTAGCATTGACGAAATCGAGATGGCTCTTGGACAGCTGAAAAATGGAAAAGCCCCTGGAGAGGATGGCGTTACAACAGAGCTGCTGAAGGCCGGGGGTAAACCCGTACTAAGGGAGCTCCAAAAGCTCTTCAACGCTGTCCTGTTTGAAGGGAGAACTCCAGAAGCGTGGAGTAGGAGTGTGGTCGTCTTGTTCTTCAAAAAGGGTGACAAGACCAGGTTGAAGAACTATCGACCCATATCCCTTCTAAGCCACGTCTACAAGCTGTTTTCGAGAGTCATCACGAACCGTCTTGCGCGAAGACTCGACGAATTCCAACCACCGGAGCAAGCTGGGTTTCGGAGCGGATATGGCACCATAGACCACATCCACACAGTGCGGCAGATTATACAGAAGACCGAAGAATATAATCAGCCCCTGTGTCTAGCATTCGTGGACTATGAGAAAGCCTTTGACTCGATCGAGATCTGGTCTGTTCTGGAGTCCCTGCAGCGTTGCCAAGTAGATTGGCGATACATCAAAGTGATGAGATGTCTCTACGAAGCCGCCACCATGTCCGTCCAAGTACAGAATCAGCAAACAAGGCCCGTACCATTGCATCGAGGAGTGAGACAAGGGGACGTTATTTCCCCGAAATTGTTCACAAATGCAATGGAGGACATGTTCAAGACGCTGCACTGGAAAGGGCGTGGCATCAATAT